CCGACCTTTCGATGACGTCAACGGAGATTTCACCGCGCTAGGCAACGTCGAGCCAGACGGCGACGATGATGACGTCGACGTCAGCTCATTTGAAGAAGGTGGTCCGAAGAATGACGTCATCTCCGACGACTCGCTTGGTTCGTAGTTGTACTCGAGGCCGTGATCCGACGGTCGTAACTCTCTAGCGTTGATTATCTTCGTTGATGAATCTAAGATGATTAACACGAACACGATCAAGATTGATATCAACGGTGGAAAAATCTCACTAATTATGTGTGAAACCATTTTTGTGAGTTTGGAGTTTACAAGAAGTTTGTTGTGTCAAAGAGTGGCTTTATACGAGTATCCAATTTGATGAAGCACGTCTTTTAAAAGTGATCATCCCGTGAACATAAAAAGAAAACTCCGTCGTTTCCTAGGAACAGTGTTTCTTGACTCTTGTGCTCTTTGTCTGAATTTGGTAAAATAAATGTCTCGTGAATTTCTTTGTTGGAGATTGGTCCTTAATTTACGGGAATCTAAAACAATCGATTGTTGTAGTTTTTTACTACTAGATTTTGTTTTTCTTTGGGTCAGTTTCACTAAATAATACGACCAAAAAAAAAAAAAAAATGCTTGGTTAACCTCGCTATAATAGCTACAATATGGTTTAGTAAAACTGTTTAAATATAACATGGCGTAAAAACTAATATAACAAGAAGGTAAGCATTTCTAGTTGAGTGGTATCCAAGGTTTGAAAGCGAGAAGAATCTTTGAAAGCTTTAATCCAAAGAGTTTAAATTAAAAGACCCAACTTAGATTTAAATTTCTTTTCAATGAACAAACCTCTCAACTATCACCCTTAAACTTCCATAAACGAGTAGATTTTTGTTTTCTACTATTAAAACACATTTTCATAAAACATAACTAAGCGTATTATCGGATAAAAGGGTAAATTTTTTTAAAACTAAGAAAAAACAGTAGGTGAAAATAAATTGATTGATTTTTTTTTTTAAACTACTTAAACCAAATTTTTTTTGAAGGAAATATATAAACTAAAAAAAAAAAAACTACAAACATTTTTCAACAAATTGGGTTATATACTGAAGCCCATTTGTATTGGGCCTGGGCTAGAAAATGATCTAACGGCGATTTTCTATTTATTCCCTTTCCAAGATAAGATAAGAGAGGTCGTGAATACGATGACGTGTACTGCCACGTCAACAAAATATCACAGATCCCGCCCTTTTTCTGCAATCTCCATATCTTCTTCTTCTTCCAATAAACTTCGACGAAGCCAATTCTTGTCGTTGTTGTGAATTTCCGGATTTGCCCTTCTCCGGAATGGCTAATTACTCTCGGCCCCACATCTGTCAGTGTTTGACCCGACTAGCCTCCGCCAAACGAAACGCCGTCGTCACAGTTTACGGTCACCGGAGACGCACCGGCGGAGAGTTCGTCGACGGCGTACTCAGCCTCGCCGCCGGATTGATTCGTCTCGGCCTCCGAAACGGCGACGTCGTCTCTATTGCTGCTCTTAACAGGTAAAATGTTTAATTCATCTATACGAGATTCCAATTCCATTAACTTGGGTTTTAAGATTCGAATTTGTCGATTTTGAATTTGAACAATTGAATGTTATAGGTTATAAGATTTTGAAAGTTTTGGTTTTTTATTTGATTTTTGTGGTTTCAGTGATTTGTTCTTGGAGTGGTTATTAGCTGTTGCATTGGTTGGAGGAATCGTTGCTCCTTTGAATTACAGATGGGTCAGTATCTGTTTTCAAAGATTTTGTTTTTCAAAAATGTTTTGATGTTTCTAATGTGTAAAAGATAGATCTTTTTGTGTTCTTGATGATATGTTTTTTTTTTTGTTTGAAAGGGCAGAGCTTGAAAGAAGCAAAAATGGCAATGTTACTAGTAGAACCTGTTCTTTTGGTTACTGATGAGACTTGTGCCTCGTGGTGCATTGATGTTCGGAATGGCGATGTACCTTCGTTGAAATGGCGTGTATTGATGGAGTCTACCTCAACAGAAATTTCGAATGAAAATAACCAATGCATGTTTTGTTTATAAACCTTAAATCTCAACGGTTAGTAGTAGATGCAATTGTGACCTGATTTGTCTTTGTTACCGGACAGTTTTGACAACCGAGATGCTTAAAAATCACGCCTTGGTGCCTTCCTTATCGACATACGCTTGGGCTCCTAATGATGCTGTAGTGATATGCTTCACTTCTGGTGCTAAGATTTTCTATTCTGTATCTTCATAGCAATAGTCTTCACCTTAATTGATCTCATTTTGTCTTGGAATTAGGTACAACGGGAAGTCCCAAGGGCGTGACGATAAGCCACTTGGCGTTCATCACGCAGTCTCTAGCTAAGATCGCTATTGTTGGCTACGGTGAGGATGATGTATGCCTTTTTACTTATATTTATTTGTCCTCAATGAACTCTATGGAGCTGAATGCATTTGTATGTAAAGAGCCTCTTCAAATTTCTCTCTTCGTTGTGCGATTTTTTTTCCTCTTCAGGTGTATTTGCATACATCACCATTAGTTCATATCGGCGGTCTGTCATCAGCCATGGCAATGCTAATGGTTGGAGCTTGCCATGTTCTGCTACCAAAGTTTGATGCCGAAACAGCCCTTCAAGTTATGGAAAAAAACCGTGTGACTTGCTTCATCGCTGTCCCAGCTATGATGGCTGATCTAATTTGTGTCAACAGGTAAACAAAAGAAGCGAACAAAATTGCTCATGAGAAGTCAATCTTGGTCTTTAAAACCTTAGTGACTCGAATTTATTTCCCCACAAGGACAACGAAAAATGGAGTTCAAAATCGCGGTGTGAGAAAGATACTAAACGGAGGAGGATCATTATCGAGCGAACTCCTAAAAGATGCCACAAATATCTTCCCAAGCGCGAAAATACTCTCAGCCTATGGTGAGCATTGTCGTTTCGGTTTTTTAAATTAACTATCAATCCTTTTACCGTAAAGTCTATTGCGATTTTGGTTTGGTTTAAAGGGATGACAGAGGCGTGCTCTTCGCTTACATTCATGACTCTCTATGATCCAACACTAGAGTCCTACAAACCGATATTTCCTTCGGTTAATAGAACAAAGCAAGGCACATCTGTTGGAAAACCAGCGCCACATATCGAACTGATGGTTAAGCTCGACGAAAATTCATCGAAGGTCGGGAAAATTCTAACTCGCGGACCACATACAATGCTTGGATATTGGGGTCATCAATTAGTTCAAGAAAATGTTGCAGCATCAGAATCTAGTAGCAATGAAGCTTGGCTTGACACAGGTGATATTGGGACCATCGATGAGTTTGGTAACTTATGGCTCATAGGTCGGTCCAATGGAGGAATGAAAACTGGAGGCGAGAACGTTTACCCCGAAGAGGTTAACTTCCACCACAAGTAACTTGTCGATATTAGCCTCAAAGTCGTTCATCTTCACAACGTTTTGAATCCATTAATACACGCAGGTCGAAGCTATTCTGTTAAAGCATCCTGGGATTGTGTCTGTAGTGGTGATAGGCATCATTGATGTTCGTCTTGGAGAGATGGTCGTTGCTTGTGTCCGTTTACAAGAGAATTGGATATGGTCTGATGTGGAAAACCGTAACCGAGATTTCGAATTGTCTAGTGAGACACTCAAGGATCATTGTAGAACACAGAATCTAACCGGGTAAAAATATATATATATATCTTGAAAAAAACCAGTTTATAAACAAAGCAAATACTATACTTTTAAGTTGATGAACTTTTGGACAGGTTTAAGATTCCGAAGAGATTTGTCCGGTGGGAGAAGCAGTTTCCGATGACAACAACTGGGAAAGTGAAAAGAGATGAAGTTAAGAGACAAGTTATGTCTCATTTCCAAATCTTGACTAGCTCTCTCTGATCATTAAATTGATTCTAGAAAATCTTAAAATGTTCTCTACTTTTGTTGTACAGAATCTAATTATTTTTTGGTTATGATCCTTTTATACATCCTTGGTTTAAACAGAGTATTTAAACAGAGTATAAACTGTAAAGACTCTGTTTTTACACTTGAAGAATCAATAACAGAACATTTTATAACAAACTCGATCGAAATATTGTATCACTATAATGTATGTATAGTATATGTATGTCTTGTGCATCTGAAAAGACAAAAGATGGATTCGACAGGGGCATTTTCGTAAATTTGTTAAAAGCTTTGTTCTTGACTCTCCCGCTCCACACTTCCCAAAGTAATGTTTTTTGTTTCCAGGTCGGTCCATCTTCTTCTCATTTAGAAACCCTAAAAGCTTTAAAAGAAGACCCGCCATTGAAATTGGATTTGGACTCATCATTTTCTCGTTAAAATTTTCCATCATTTTCTCCGGGAAAAAACTAACACAGCTGATTTTGTAAGTTGCTTCAGGTTTTTGTAATCCCTTAAGTGTCTAAATTTCGTTTGTTATGGAATATTATTACCGTTTTCTATCGAATGTTTTAGTTTTGATTTTCAATAAACTATTGGTTTTTCCGGTTATAGTAAAGCGTTTGTTTTCTTATTACTGCTACTTCCTCTGTTTCAGGGATTTTACTTTTAGGTGGAGAGGTTATGATGAGTGATAATAATGGTAATATAGATTCTCATGATCATGATGGATCAGTCCTTATAAATAGTGTCGTTAAGGAGAGTGAGAATCCGAATGTTGTTGATTTTCATGATGATTTAGATCCTTACTTGGCTGCTCAAGAAAATCGGTTAATGAATCTTGAAACTGTTAACCGATTCGTGAGTGATTCGGTTACAAGGGGAACGCTAAATGCAGTTGAGACTGAGGCAAGAGAGATTGTGACTTCCGAGGAAAGCGAAACCTCGCGTTCTCCTCTGATTCCTGATCAGGCGTGTAAGGATGAGTATAAGGAAAGATTGTGGGAGCAGAATGTGGAGTTTTGTGACAAGAAAAGTTTGTTACTTGAGAAGAAGACTAAAGAGATTGCTGGTTTGCGCCGTGAGCTAGAGTTGATTTCTAAGTTGCTTTCGGGTTATGCGAATGAAGACATTGATGAGGCTTTGAAGGGTAAAAAAAATGCGGATCAGTTGCACCGCAAAAACTTTGGAAGCATTGGTTCAACGTCTTGGATTTGGGATAAAAATGGTAAGCAGTATTTAAGATATTTATCGCACAAAGAGTTGATCAACCACTTTAAGAAGGAGATGAATCAAATGAAAAGAGAGCATGATTATACAATACAAGAGATGACTGAAGAGTACTTTAGTATTAAGCGAAGGTGCTCGAAATTAGAGAAGCGCGCTTCGTTTTCTTGTTTGAAGAAAGACAAAGAGTTTGATGTCCTGCGAAAGAAGATCTCGGATATCATTTCGAAGTTGGATAAGGTTTTATCGGAAGATGAGAAGTCAGTGTTTGAAGGAAAGAACAATGCTGCTCTCAAGAGCCAAGTGGATTCTCTGCTACTTGAAAACCGTCAGCTTGGAGAGTTGAACAAGAATGCATTAGAGAAAGAACAAGCTTTGAGATCAGAGATGGTTAAGAAGGAAATATTAGCTGAGAATGATTTGGCTGCAGAGAAAGAGAAGCTTGAGGTAGTCTTTCAACAGATTAACACTCTGCAATTTCTGATTGATCAGCAAACAGTAGTGATTCAAGATAAAAACAAAGAACTGAAACTTGTTTCAGCTCGCGCTGCGGAGAAAAGAGTAGGTTATGAGATGGAGATATCCGAGTTAAGACAGAAGCTTGAGTTAGCTAGAAAGAATATGAAGGTAACTGAAAATGAGAAAGTGAAGTTTGAGCTGAAACTATCATTAACAGAGGCAGAGCAAAAGAGGCTTAAAGCCGACTAAGAATTGGTTCAAAGTGGTTTGGGTCAAGTGT